ACTTTGGTACATTTTCATATCATTAACATCTAATTATACTCTCTAAATTTAAAAAATTTTTATTTTTAAAGGTTTATCACGCATATAATCGTAGAAGAAATATGTGCTTTGCCTTAAAATCATGTGAAATGAGTATTAACAGGGGTGACGGAATAAATAGAGAAATTTTAATTTTGAGTAATCTTAATAGATTGAATCCGAATGCAAGAAATCATATTATAAAAATGGAAGGACAGTAAGTAGTTATCTTTATCAAAATTTTGAAAAATTGTAAGTTCTCACAGCGCGTTCCAGTAGATTATTTCTCACTGTCGGATATTTTCCGAACTCGAAATCAGGAAAATATGTGAAATAGACCCAATAACGGGGAACAATATTTGTATTTCAATTAATTATTTAATTTTTAGTGAATTAAAAGATAATGGACATACGATGTTTATTGTATTAGAACTTGGTGGCAAAACATTAAAGGATTATTTCGATCAAATAATTGGAGATAATGGTCGACCTCGAGAAAATGAAGTTCTTCTTACAAAAATTCTTTTAGGAGCAGCCAAAGCACTTCTACAATTTCATCAACGTAAAAAAAATAACTAGGCTTGAGAAAAATAACTCCACTAGCTTTGTAACATAGTTAAGTGGAAGTATGCTGGGTCCATTCTGTCTAATATACCTAGGCACATAAAACCATTATAATCCCTAAGGATAGCTATTGGGTTGGCCAGACCATAGCTAAGCCTTTACCAAGTAACACCGGTCTGCTCTTCTTTCGGAGCACATATACATACATATTAAAGACTGACTAACTGGGAATAATTTATCGGTGAAACAATAAACAATATATAAACTCATGCATGTTAATGGGAGGTGATACAGGAAATAGCGATAAATAATAATTATAGTGTAATGGTTGGGAAAATCCATTAATGCATAATGCTCGCCCAAAATATAACCATTGCTTAGGCATTCAACGGGTGTGCCTTACAACATTTATTTTTAAAATTTAAAATTTAGATGGCATCCATCTGGACGTAAAGGAAGGAAATTTCGTAGTCTCTCTTGAGCAAAGCCAGGATGAAAGTGTTATTGAGTGTAAATTGATAGACTTTAATACTTCTGTTTTGTTAAATCGTGAGGGTAATATAGCAACGAATGCTCCAGTTAATTTTCGATATTTAAATAAAACTTTAATGGCCCCAGAGGTACAAGATGATGACATCAGACGTGTAAGTTTTAGATTAACCTTATATATAAAAACGGTACCTAATAATTTTTTTCGATAATTTAATTGGTACTACTGAAGATAGGAGGGCTTTTTCTGCGGACTTTTTTTGCGGACTTTTCCTTTCTTTTAAATGTTTTACTTGTAGCAACAAACTGTCAAAGGCCCTCCCCCCTATTATTTTTCTTACCTAAGATTGTACATAAAGGTCAGATTTTCTTTTTCCTCTCCTTCCTTCTATTTGCCCTGTGACATATTCAAACAAGAGACATTGATAAAGAGAAGATTATTTTTTTGCCTCCGAAAACAATTTAAACAAAATAAAAGGGTAAATTAAATAAAATGATTTGGTGTATAACATTATGCATTTCTGTGTAAAAACATTACATTTGTACTTATATTTAAAAATATTGAACAACTGAGAAAATAAATTGAACTCAATCTTGAACAACTCAATTAAAAATATTGAACAACTCAATTAATTTTAATCTTCTCTTTATCACCAATGTCTTGTTTGAATACGCCAAGCTCAGAGGAAAGTGAGGAAGAAGGAAATCTGACCATTTTGTACAATCTTAGGTAATAAAAATAATGGGGGGGGGACAAGGTTTTAAATTACCCGCAATTTCTGTTCCACAATTACATATTCTTTTTCTATGAAGCATTCCGAGATCCGTGATCCATTGTTGAAATTCATCATCGGGTAATTGAAAATTTAGTTAAAGTAAAATTTTTTATTGATTGTAACATTTTTACGTTTATAATGTTCAAATTAATCGTGAACACATACTCCTTTGACAGTCTGTTGCTACAAGCAAAACTTGCTGCAAGCAAGACAACCAAAACATTAAAAAAGAAACATTTAAAAGAAAGGAAAAGTCCGCAAAAAAGTCCGCAGAAAAAGCCCTCCTATCTTCAGTAGTACCATTTAATTATTTTAGGTGACCAAAAAGGCGGATATTTGGTCTTTTGGTTTAATGGCATTTCAACTTTTTTATCATCGATATTTCAGTAAATATTTAATTAATTACATTTGTCATTCTGACAATAAATTTTTATTTGGACTTTTAAATCATTTGAAAAAATGTTTAATTAATCCATTATTCTCCAATCCCCGTAAACAGACGTCAAATAAAAAGATATTAGATTAATATGCCCGCATAAGAAAATCAAATATTTAAATTTTGGGTATTGTGACTTATACTAGGTTTTTTGTTTTTGGACCGATTAGGTCAAGTGAGGTGTCATTCGAAAGAGCTTCGAAAACTGAATCGAACTAGGGGTGGGAGAAGTTGGTACGACAATCAGGGGCCGAGTTACAGACCCCTGAAGTTTGAAAAAGAGAAGGGGGGAGTAAGCTCATTTTAGGGTGAAAAATTCGAAAATGCAAATAATAGCTCATTCGACTCAGCTCGTCGCGCTGAGTCGAATGACACCAAAATCACCGAAATCCGACTTGATTGGAAAAAGTTATGATCGTTTGTTTTAGCTCCTAACCTATGGTCTATGAGGAGGTTTTTGCTGCTACAGAGGCCCCAAGTACGTCCAGAACAAGGGAGATAGGAATAGGTTTATGTTACTGACCCAGACCCAGCGACCGTTGACTCCCCGCGAGGCGCGTGCCGCGAAACCCCGCGCGAAGCGCGGGGTTTCGCACAAGCGCCTCGCCGACGCTCCATAGGTTTACGTTGACCATTTTGAACCTGTTTATTTTGGCTCAGAATCAAGGTATCGAGCTGATTTTGTTGTCATTCGACTCAGCTCGTCGAGCTGAATCGAATGAGCTATTATTTGCATTTTCGAATTTTTCACCCTAAAATGAGCTTACTCCCCCCTTCTCTTTTTCAAACTTCAGGGGTCTGTATCTCGGTCCCTGATTGTCGGATCGACTTCTCCCACCCCTAGTTCGATTCAGTTTTCGAAGCTCTTTCGAATGACACCTCACTTGACCTAATCGGTCCAAAAACAAAAAACCTAGTATAAGTCACAACATTCTAAATTTTATTTGTCAATTATTTGTTTACGTCGGTACCGGAATTTTTGTCTCCAGCGGAATATTCGTTACCAAGTTAAAAAACAGGATTTTCGTCTCCGGAATTTTATTTCTTGATTTATTCGAAAATAACACAAAATCGAACAACTTAAACCGGAACTTATGCAGTTTGGGTATGCTTTTTTTAGCCACGCCCCTTTTCTCCTTCCACCATCAATCAATTTCATTTTGTACACAATGGTCAGCCTTTCCTTCACCCTTTTCTTCTCCACATCAATGAAACACACTACATCACGCCCCTTTTTAATTCTCTTCATCATCTACTTTGTTCCTTTACTCTCAATTATTTCTACTTACATAAACTTTGTGTTACGACCCCGGTTACGCAGAGGAAGCTAACAGAAACGTTTATTGTACAAAGAAATACAAAGCAGGCGAAGGTTGTAGGAAGAACTAAAAACTGAGAACCAGAACTAACTATTGGCTGGGCTTTTATACTAACACTTTAAGGGCTGACGCCATACACAACACCTCCCCCCTTGAAAAAAAGGTTCGGCTTCACTTAAAGCCGAAGCTTTACAATATACTAACACTTTCCAGCCAAACAACAAACAAAAAATACATACAATAATTTTGGGGGATAAGGACAATGGGAACAAAAAATACATACAACATTACAAAAACATAAAAAAATACAACAATAATATTATCACAAAATTTTATATATGTGGCTCATCTACATCTCCATATTATTATCATCTTCGACATCTTTCATCTTTGGATTGTTCCCACTTGTCTCACTAATTTCACTGGATAATCTATAGCCTCTTCAGCATACTTTTTTACACTTTCCTTAGTCAGCACTAATTTTTGAGGCTGTCTAATACTTTCTCTCAAACCATATTTATGTGGTTTATCAACTTTTTTCAATCCACTATCACTTACACTTTCACTTTTCCACAAATTATTACAATCTTCACTTAAACTTCTATTTCTAATTTGATTTTCGTGCCGAGTTACGATGGCATTTAATACTGGCGAGTATATCTTATAGATAACTCCCCTTTTACTTTCAACTTCACCATTCAACCAATTGATTTTACCATCTTTTCGGTAATTTAAGAAATACACTAATTTACCGATTTTTCGGTTTTTTACTCCATGGTGTTTGTCAAACCAATTTTTCATTTTCACTTGTTCGGCACTTACTGGCACTTCGTCAAGCATTATGTTTAATACATATTTAATTGACTCTTCAACTAATAATGAGTCCTCATCACTACAATCTTCATCACTACAATTTTCACTTTTTGAAACTAATGCAATCACTTTATGTTCCGATTCACTTTTTTCACTTATCAATCTTGACAATGTGTCAGCCATACCCATATGGTTGGTACTTACAAATTCGATTTTAAAATCGTAATTTGTCAATAATAATGCCCATCTTTGTAATCTTGATGCAGAGAACACTTTGATTCCTTTATTCTTGCCAAAAATGGCCAATAACGGTTTATGATCCGTTCTCAATATGAACTTTCGGCCGAATAGCATTTTATGAAACTTTTGCACTGCAAACACTAATGCTAGGCCCTCTTTTTCAATTTGACTATAATTCTTCTCTGCATCATTCAATGACTTACTCGCGTACTCAATCACTTTTTCCTTTCCATTTGGAAATTTATGTGATATCACTGCTCCCACTCCATAATTCGATGCATCCGCTGTCACTATTATTTCTAATTCCGGATCGAAATGCGTTAGCATTAGATCAGAATTTAGCACTTTTTTAACACTTTGGAAGGCCTGTTCCTGATCTTGGCCCCACTCCCACTTCACTTCTTTTTTAAGCAATTTATCCAATGGCCCTCTATATTTATGCATTTCACTAACAAACCGCCCATAATAATTAATTGTACCCATAAAAGATTTCAATTCTTTAACATCTCTTGGACGTGTCAATTCACTAATTTTCTTTTTCTTTTCAGGGTCGGGCTCAATTCCACTTTTGGATACAATATGGCCTAAGAACTTCAATTTTTCTTTAAAGAAATTACACTTTTCTAACTGGATTTTTAATCCCCACTTTTCAATTCGATCAAATATTTCAAACAATTGCACTTTATGATCTTCAATATTTTTAGACACTATTATTAAATCATCTAAATATGCAAACACTCCAGGAATTCCACTTATCAATTTATCCATTAATCTCTGAAATATTCCTGGTGCTGATTTCACTCCTTTGTGTGTATTAATACACGCCACTTTTTTAGATTGCTCGTCTAACTCAATTTGTAAATAGGCATCTCTGAGATCCAATTGCGAAAACACTTTACTTCCATGGATCTCAGCCCATATTTCACTAGGCTTTGGCAAAGGATGCCTATCCAATTCAATTGCATTATTCAACCCGGTTGAATAATCCATACACACTCTTGTTTTGCCATTTGCCTTTTTAATAGCTAAAATGGGCGCTGCCCAGTTAGCAAATTCAATTGGCTTAATAGCTCCAATTTCACTCAATCTGTTTAACTCTTTTTCAATTGCGTCTTTAACGCCAATAGGTACTGGTCTAGCCCGTACAAATACTGGACTCACTCCTGGCTTCATATACAAATGAGCCTTCATTTTTGTACAATGGCCTAAGCCTGGCTCAAACACTTTCTTAAACTGCACTGACAATTTGTTTACTATTTCACTAATTTTACTTTGTGCCTTTTCAATTTCTAACACTTTAATCGGCTCATCACTCTTTTTAATACTAGACACTATTGGATATCCCAATTTATTCTCAACTTCAATTATCCATGGTAGGCCAAACAAATTCAATTTTTCACTTGTGACATGTGTCACCAATACTTGTTTACTATCGTCTACTTCGACACTCGCCAAAAAACTGCCCAACATACTAAACTCGTTTCCTGTGAAACTTTTACCCTTGCAGGGCACTCCAGTGAGCTTTGGGCTACCAATATTCTTCCATGTCGCTTCACTTATACAACTGATTTGAGCCCCTGAATCCAAAATGAATTCCACTTCGTTTCCGTTCACTAACACTTTTTTTGTTAACCATTTAGGTTTCACACTCATACTCACATGGAGAATATCAACACTGTTCTTTACATTACACTCATGGTTCTCCCACCATGTTTTTACTTTACTAATCAGGGCCATTTTTCTTTATGTAGCTGTTGCCGAACTTTTCTTTTGTAGCTGTTGCCGAACTTTCCTTTATCGAAGTAGACGAAACTGGTTTGCGACCGCGCCAAATCTGTTACGACCCCGGTTACGCAGAGGAAGCTAACAGAAACGTTTATTGTACAAAGAAATACAAAGCAGGCGAAGGTTGTAGGAAGAACTAAAAACTGAGAACCAGAACTAACTATTGGCTGGGCTTTTATACTAACACTTTAAGGGCTGACGCCCATACACAACACTTTGTATCTTGTTAAATTTATTCTAGGATATGGAAGATCTTAAAAATTCTAATATTCGCGATTTATTTCGCTTAATTAGTAAGTCAGAATTTTTGGAATGGGTCAGGGAATTTTAAAAATAAAAATTACGACTCGACTAAATTGATTGATGTGGAAAAGAAGAAGGGAGAAGGAAAGGCTGACCATTGTGTACAAAATGAGGTTGATTGATGGTGGAAGGAGAAAAGGGGCGTGGCTAAAAAAAGCATACACAAACTGCATAAGTTCCCTTAAAACTACTATGGGCGTCGGCGGGGCGCTTGTGAAAATCCCAGGTTTCGCGCGGGATCCATTTTTGATACGTATTCTATAGTTTATTACGTTATTTTGGGTTATTTTCGAATAAATCAAGAAACTCAAATTCCTCGTGCCTAAAAATTTCGGAAACGAAAATTCCGTTTTTTTACCTGGTGACGAATATTCCGCTGGAGACGAAAATTCCGAAAATTTGGAGAATGTTCCGAAAAATCTTGGAGACGAAAATTCCGTACACCGTTTACGTCATCCCTCGTTTAAAAAAATCATACTTTATTAATCGAGTAACTAAAAAGTAGGAGTATGTTAAACGAGGATATTTGAGCAACTTATATATTTTTACTATTTAATTTAAATATTAATAATTTAGCGGGAATTAATGGATATGGCGAAGTTAAGGATACAATTAATGCTTATCTCAACAAATATGAGCAATATCATTCAATAAAAGATACACGCTTGGATCAATTTATAAAGGTAAAATTTTGTTGAAAATTATTAGTTATGAGTGAGGCGCTAGCAATTAAATGTCCGACATCTGGTTTAAGTATCGTAATTTAACTTATTTTTAAACTCTTTCTAAATCACAAAAACTATTGTGAAGACTAATTATTACAGAGAATTAGCAAAATGAATGAATTTATATAAATAATCACAAAAATTTCAGGCGTGCGTCCAAATTGATCCAAATAATCGTCCATCTATGAATGCTATTGTTAGTTTTTTGAAAAACGAATGCGACTATTTTCAATACGAACAGCGGCGTGCTAGAAGTAGTCGAGCACGATTGTGGACTTTAGTTAGCGCTTTTGGGTTTTGATTTGTTATTTTGGTACCTTATGTTTATAGCGCCCTCCGTCCTATTTTATTATGAATTTAATTTGGGTATGAGTTTATCCCGTTTAAATTTCACTCCATCTCCCCATGGTCAAATACGAGACATTACAATGCGAGACATTACAAAGAGAAGAAATGTTATACAGTGGCGGAAAATTACTTAGGGAAAAATATTTTTTATTTTATTTTTAAAAATTATTTTATTATTGATTAGTTTTTTGGATTTATTTTTATGTATTTTTGTAGCTATCAAATAGTCAAAAAACTATAAAATAATATTTATCGATTAAAAAGTTATACTCATTTAAATAAACAATGTTCTAAAAATGCGCGGAAATTTACTTAGGGAAAAATAATATTTTTATATTTTATTAGATTTTACTAACAATATTTGTTTAAAATTCATTCTAATGTCTCTCAAAATTTTCGCCTGCGGCGCAAAAAATGGAAGACTTTTTAGCAGCTTCGGCACTAAAAAAGGTTTTTGAAAAATTTTTTTGTAGCGTACTTACATTTTGAAAATTTTTCCCCCTGTGTACTTCCAATTTGAACTTTTTGTACATACACTTGACATTTTCTCGATCCGAACCCTGTTTTAAATACTGATAATCAAACTAGAGTGGCATATAAACATAAAGTGCTTCGTCTACAATCTGGAGTTTATCTGAAGAATATTTTTAGTCAAATTCTAAAAATTTTATATTCTTGTTACACAACTAATTAAATTTTCCTTAACAATGTATCCAAATACTGTACAAGAATTTTTATAAAAATTATGTTACGTTTAGGAAACTAACCAAAATTTTAAAATATTATTTCAAATGTTGTGGAGCAATCGGTTATAATTTGAACTGAATATTAACGTATTATTATGTTATTTTTAATTTCATAACTATTTCTACTAAATTTGTAAAATTTATCACATGACCTGCATAAACTCATTATGGGAAGAATTATATTTTAATATTTCATGTATTTTAATATTTCATAATTCAACTAATCCTACCGTTTTCGTATTCTCAATTAAATTAAATAAAAAAATTTAATTTAAGAAAATATATTTAAATTATAATTTTTACTATTTTGTGAGTAATTAACTCCTTGTTTTCGAAGCCTATGAGAAGTTAAAATGCTAGACCCTTTAATCTAAAACAAATAAAAATCTTTGTCTATAAAATAAAAAAATTATTTGCCTGCCCGTGGAACCTAAATTTCTAAGTGAAAAAAACGACCATTCTTCCATAAGAAACTAAAATAAATGACCTTTTTAATTAAAAACGAGTTTTGAATGTTGCACTTTATACTTGAAAATAATCTTAAATTAAACAGAAATAAAAGAAAATATAATAATTAAAAAACATGTTTTAAAATATTTCTAGTTAATCTTGATGAATAATTTCAAAAGATCTAAAGCATATAAGAGAAAGAAACAATGAAAATATTTTTGAATATGTCAAATATAGAGATAAGCTCCAATAAGAAAAAGACAAAAAAAAGATAAAAACCAAATAAATGTACATACTGTTAATGGTTTTGAGGTTCTAGGTATTTGGTTTAAATTAGTTAAAAACTACTATAAATAGGATGATAAACATTACATAAAATCTTCGGTTTGTAAACACCCAATACCACAAATTTTCTAAAATTAAAACACTCAAAACCATTTTATCGTAAATACTCCAATAAATAGATATCCGACAATAATTAAATTTTCCATATTTTTTAATTTTTTGAGTTCAGTTCTACGTTATTTTAAGCTGGATATACTTTAAAAGCAATAATCCTAGTCAACCTTTTAATATTAGAGTATTTACGAAAAGTGCAACAAACATTTTCTTTTTTGATTTGACTATAAACTAAAATGGGGAATTGAAGTGCTTCAACGTGATCAAAGGAAATAACATATCTTGATCTGTTTAAAATCGAAAGCATGTATGTATATCCGTTGAAGCACAAAATTTTACATAATATAGAAGAGAATTTTTTTGAAAAATTCTTAATTTAAATTTTAAAATACTTCCAAAAATACTTACTTTTAAAATAAATAAAACCCGGTTGGGGTCAGTTGAGCGCGGCCGGTTGAGCGCCAGAGAACTTTGATCGGCTATAACCTTTTAAGCCTTGATCCAATACAAATAAGTTTTATATCATTCGAAAGCCCTCGATAAGCGGTATCTTTTTTCCAACTGGATGGATCAAGTCTGATCACGGTTAAAAAGTTACAAGTCGATAAGTGTGAAAAACAACGATCTCCTGCACTTATCGACTTGTAACTTTTAAACCGGTGATCAGACTTGATCCATCCATTGGTAAAGAGATACCGCTTATCGAGGGCTTTCGAATGATATAATAATCATTAGGAGTGATTCAAGCACAAAAAAGTTATAGCCGATCAAAATCGGCTGGCGCTCAACCGGCGGGGCTCAACTGGCCCGCTCCGATAAAACCAATATTTATAGTGTGTGGATTTTTATTCAAATAAATCACTGAAGCGACCCTGCCCGCTAACTGACTCTCAAATTTTTCATTACACGGTACTTTATGGATGTGTCACCCCCCCTCCTATTTTGAGTCTCAGAGTTTTCCTTAAACGTAGAAAATGGTAAGAGATTATTTTCTTCTCCATGTCAATCATTTTTTTCT